AATATGGAATGTACAGTGATGACAAAAATGTGTCATTCATTCTCTTTTTATAACCTATTCTAATGGAAGTGCAAAAAGTTAATAAACTGTTCGAATCTAAACTTGTTGATAAAGTTAAATTACTTGATGATCTCACCTTGCTATTTCACTTGGTAAAAGACTGGTGTCGCCAACTTCTAAAGCTGATTTGCTTACTTGCACTATAGAGAGCTATTTTGCTCCTAAGCCACACCTTGGATATTAAATCGAATCAAAAATTGATGATTTAAAAACAAAAGGACTGTTAACAGAGAATGAAGAGAACAACTTAAGAAAACGCTGTCAAGATTTCCTTATCTCATTATTGAAGCAGAGACTTCCTGAAAATCTAGACGTTTTGAAAAATATTTCACTTTTTTCTGTGAGCAACATACTTCAGCCAATAAAGGACATACCTAAATATTGTAAAGTTATGAAATTTTTAGGGGCTACTGATAATAGTGTCGCGGAAGCAGAATATCAGTTAACCAAAATAAAGTTAGCTGAATGGACAAACAAAACAGAAACTAAAGCGTTTTGGAGTGAAGTGAGACAATTTAAAGATGCCTCATCAAACAGTCCATTCTGTAAGCTCTTTAAAGTGCCATGTCTGCCATGATGCTACCTCACTCAAATGCTGACGTAGAAAGAGTTTTCAGTGCTAGGAATTATATCAAATCTAACCCAAAAAAAAAAAAAAAGGATGAAATTTGACCTCTTAAATGCTATCGTGCCATTAAAATTCGGCCTGATGAGACTAGAGAAATAAGCCTACTGTTCCACTTATAAAGAAATTTGAACAGCTAAAGCATACCAGAGTCATTTTGGATCTGAAGCTTCAACTTCATTATCCAAGCTAAGTTTATCCTGTGGATCTTGTGAGGCAGACATCAGTGAAGGTGAGGACATGATTATGTAGGGTAAGTCGTAACAAAAGCTATGTAATTTTTGACTTTTTCAATTTGGATGTTTTTTCTAAATCTTTTCCACGCAGATTTAGATCTTTTTAGATATTTTTTGGACACCGTTTTGGATACTTTTTGTCAAAGAAAAGTGGCAACACTGGTGGCAACACTGTACACAAAAATCCTCCATTAAAAACAACGAAACGAAACATTTTATCGCCAAGATAGTTTGAACGAAGTGAATTACATACATGAATTACATTTTTCACGACCAGAAGTTAATATTTGTTGAGAAATATAATTTGTTAGTTTGTATTAAAATATTTAACTTATTAGGGAGATCTTTTTTGTAAGTCGTATGTTACATACAATGTTTGTAGAGGTACCTTCTTCATGAAAATGCACCCGCTTACTGGGAGGTAGATGTACAAGAATTTTTGGCTCTAAAACTAAAACTACTAAAATTAGTGTGTGTTCTCAACCATGCACCCTACTTCCCAGATTTGTCTCCCTCTGATTATTTTCTATTCCCAAAACTAAAGTTACATTGCAAGGACGCTTCTTTGATGACAATGATGACATCCAAAGGGCCGTAGCATCGACTTCAAGAGCCATTTTATTAACAGAAGAACTATAGAGGTAGTTCCAGTGTTTGTTAGATTGTGCCACTCGCTGTATCAATGCACAAAGGGCTTACTTTGAATAAAATACAGGTTATATCTTCAACTGTTGATGATTTTTATTTTTATGGAATTAGTCTTATTACTTAATTGTGGGACCTTGTATATCTAAATGAGCTGAGGTAAACTAGTATGCGCAAAGACACATGAACACAAGTACACAGTTTACCCAACTATTTTATAACATTTGTAAGATTTTATTGAATCAGTCTAAACAAAAATAAATGGATGGTACTGATCTTGCAATCATAAAAGATAATAGTAAGTGATGGTAATGAGTCAGTCAAAGAGTTCAGTACATGCATACAATATAAGAGTGAGGATGGTGTTACGATGATAATAATTTATATGAACCTAACTTTGATGTAGTTTGAAGAAAGTAAACCTTAGACAGATCTCAGTTTGAGACTGCCTATCTTTTCTCAGCCTGTTGTCCTCACTGCTAAAAGCAGGTCGTACACTTGGACCATCTGCTACTGATTGATTGCTGACTGATCCTTGCCCTGACCAGAACTCTGAAAATTCCAGCAATTTGCCAAAAAGTCTCACACAGCTAGGATAACTTTCTAGTGCAGCTCTTAGTCGGTGGCATTGCTGACAACAGTCTGAACTGAATTAAAGAATTATAAGCTCTTCCACCTTGTACCCCAGAAAACTGTCGGGGGAAGATGAAACGTTCGTTGATAAGATCTGTCAAGAGCACGATTAAGACATGTTCATTTCTGTAAGGCTGTTCTTGATGCCATCATTCCATATTTTCCAAGGTAACCCAATTGCTTTATACCCATTGTAATGTTTTAGTGTTGCTCGCTGTGGCAGATAGTACCAGGGCATTCTTGTTAGGTGTCCAAACCACTTCATTTGTTGTTCTTTGATGATTTGTAAGACTGGCTTTATTCCTAGCATTCTTCTGATTTTGACAAGGATTTATAACATCGTAACTGCTGCCTCTCAATTTGTTTCCAAGACCAGTTAAGGCCAGGGATGAAGTTCTTCCTCTCCAAAGCAAAGAGCCTGGGCAGTACTGCAGAGACCAAATGTTGCTGAAGCATCATGATCTCTCTTACGACCTGCCTTGTTAACTCCAAAGGAAAGGTAACACTAGTACGTTTGGAACAAAGCAGGCTGCAGAAGTTGCCAGATCAGAAGCGCAGTGCTCTTATCTGTCTATGTATTGGAGCTTCCCTACTAGACTAGTTGCCAGCCAAGGTTTAAGGTCTTGTCTGCCCTGCCATAACATACAGTCATTAGGTTGCATTTCCTCTTTCTAGTTTCCTACCCAGTGTGCTTCTCCGCATGAATTTACATATTACAACAATTAATGGCATGTAACTCTAAGAAACCTAACCCTATATACCCTTTAATTGATCTGTACCTTTCAACATTCCTGTTGTAGCCATCTTTTCTATGATTCTATCTATCTTCTTTTACCCCACCAGCACATCACACAAGCGATAAACACCCAATGACACAAAGTACCACCATGTGGATGAGGATCACCCGTGGAGAGAAACCGCTTTCAGCCATTAGACCATATTTATGGCCGGGCTATATTGCGGCCCCTGGCAAGAGCCAGAGTAGGGCTTCAAATAACGACAAATTGCATCCCACAAAGGGATGACAAGATTGCTTTTTAACATCTCTTCCTTTTTCCCCTCCTCAAGGTGCACTCTGAGATTGCGGGTTGTGGTGGCCATAACCAGTGGCAATTCACCGGCTACAAAAAAAAAAGAATGTAATTGTTTGGTTGAAAAGCCAACACTGGCAGAGATAAAAAATGACAACAACAAAAGCTGCCCACTGAGAACAATGTTCAAATCCTAAACTCTGTAACTCTAGTGACAGTCGCCAGGGGTTTCATTAAACACTGCACTAGGGAACTGAACTACACAGTCTGGGAAACTCTGCTCAGTGCCCCAGTAATAAGTATCTTTAATACCAGTATATCAGCTGCATGAAACCCCTGCATATCCAGCACAGTATTGTACATGTATTTAGGTTGGTTGTTTTTCTATATTACAGCTATTCATGTTAGACTCGTGCTTTAAATCTTCCCAGGCATTGTCTGAGAGTCATAACCCTGGTGGACAAATCAAGAATGCTTTTACCTCTCCTGTCTGTCACACAGGAAATTATTTTCTCATGTTTCATTTATAGCAACTGTAATTTTCCTACATCATATCTACAGTCATCAGCTCTTTTATATTTTATGTTCCTAAATGTTGTAAGGTATTTGGGCATTTGTTCAGTTGATGTTGTCCCAGACATCTTTCTTTAGATTCACATTCCCTTTAAATAACATCAGTGATAATATAAGCATTGCATATTTTCGGCTCTGGCTGAGCAGTTAGGGACCTTTGGCTCTCAATTGGAAATCCTTGGTAAGGTGGTAGTAATTTTTATTTCAAAGACTATAATAGATTCCTAGTTTGCACAGTTCAAGGCAAAGCCCTAGGCATGTGGCCCTACAATCTCAGGCTCAAGATCACCTTTTATACAATGCTGTAAAAAAAAACAATAAAGTCTTAAATATAGGCAGTAATGGTAGATAAAATCTTTTTTTTTCCCACCTCTACAATTACAATGATGAGTTAACTTTTTTCAGCACTAAGGTAGCATATTGCAGCTTCTAAAAAACACAGTTTTGCGTGTTATATATATATATATATATATATATATATATATATATATATATATATATATATATATATATATATATATATATCACACCATGTATACTGCTTCATACACATGGACGACAATAGCTGATTGTGCAGCAGCAGATTGAGCTAAATTTTAGCGATAATAAGTGTTAGGAAATAGATCTGATCTGCATCAGGGATACTGATACTGTACTTTGTCACACAAATATCTTAACATGATGCGGAAATGAACACTATATCTAAATTAACGTGCAATAAAATGAAAGGGACTGTGGAAATGAATTAAAATAGTTTTGTTCTTGTTGATTGGAGGATTGAGTTACCACTACTGACATATTCAACAGCATGTAGTGTATGTTTTTTTAAAAATGCAATGTATAATCTGGCTTATTCAGTGATAGGTATTGTAATTATGTGCTTGTTGTCAGATTCTCCATGTGTGTGTGTTTTTAGGTTTAAAAATATATGAGTTCAATCTCTAAAATACCAAATCATTTATCCAACTAATTTGAAATTTGTTTTGCCCATAATAGATGTAAACATGAATTTTAGATATTGATTTATAATCTAATGTATTTTTAAAATAAATACTTGTAATTTGTTTTCTGGCATCATCTGATTAATTTCACTAGACATTTTATCTTTAATACAAGCACAACATTAGCAAGGCATTAAAGTGATTTTTCACCTGGTGTGCATTATTCAATTAGAACTATAGTTCCAAGCTCTGGAAGATGTCAGTCCTGAGAAACAGAATGTTTACCTCATACAAACACTTCCAGGATAAGCTGGCCACACCTACCTTATCATTATTCAATTTGGCACAGATACAAGTGTCTCAGCTGGTTAGTCCTACCAGTCAAACTGTTCCATTATGTACATCATCAGCTCACATCTGTTTGAGACAACAGTGGAAAAAACAGACTGGACAATATCTTTTTGTGAGATCTGGCAATATCAGCTTAAATCATGTTAGGACTGGTTATTCATCAATGAGGGAAACAGACAATCAACAACAAGAACGTTTATTGTCTCAGATGGTATGCTTGTTTTCTGTTTTAAATTGTATTGTTTCAGTTTCTATTGTAGACATATTTTAATATAGATATAGACAGTTAGTTGGCTGGACAGTCTAAAAGAGTAACCCAGATATTTTGAAAGAGGTGAGGGCTCAAAGAAGACTTATCACAAACATCAGAAACAGGCAGTCATCATTTTTTGGTCATGTTATGAGAAGAAGGAAACTGGAACATGTTGTGCCTACTGGAAATATCTGGGGAGAGAGTGTCGTGGGACTAGTTTCTTTTTTACACAATCTATTAGTGTTTGTCGGTTTAAATCCTCCCTCCTGATGCAAGTGAAAAACTGAGACTATTGTCTTTTGATGCAAAGAGCAGACAGTGTCCCTGGATACTCAGATACAGACTCAAATTAATTCGTGAAAGAAAGTGAGCTGCCTGAATATCCCCAGAACAGGGAAACGAGAATTTAGATATCTAGCAAGCATTTACTAAATGAATAGCTGGACAGAGCAGATTACCCCTCCCGAAAACTTCCTTTCCTGGTCAGTAAATAAACTCTCATCTAGAATAGGTATTTTGATATACAGCACTGGACCGACACCATACACATATCTGGAGATTAAATTAAACTTTAACTATGAATTTAAAATAATCATATAAATGTTTATTAAATTAAAGTCGATACTGATCATTATTTACTTTTGAAATACAGCACTCGAACAAAATAGATTTCATGAAAGATAAAAATGATAACACATAAACAACTACACCCGGTTTCCCAGAGGATTTTCCGTTTCAGAGAATGAGGTGGAATGTTGAATCTTTCCCAATCACCAAGACAAGACCTTTCTCAGGGCACTTCAGTGTTCTGGAAGCTCGACCTGCCACAAGGAATGTGTCCTTGGCTTTTCAGCAGTAGATGTAGCTATATGACTATTGGATGAATTCGGCCATAATGCTAGGGCTAAAGGCTGCATGAAAGACAGTCAACTTTGTCTTTTTTTAAACTGCACTCCCGCCTCTGCTAGCGCCCGGAAATGAATGATGATAATCCATGTACCATGTAATCTCAATTAGTAGCCAGATTTTTGCAACAATGTTGCCGAATTTGCTAGCAGCAAATTCTATATGAGAAATCTCATGGAAATTGCAAATTAGACACAATGGGAATTTCCCAAACAGCAGCCATAGACTATGGTCGGGATATCCCTCAGTATCATCTGTGTTGACAATGACGTCACTCTTGACTAGCCAAGTGGGAAAAATAAAAGGGTCAAATGGGGCGGTAAGTCAGTCAAGGTATCTTGTCTACTTGACACGGCGTCTGGAACAGAGAGAGAGACAGAGGAAGACAGTGCAGAAGATTCTTGATAGCCTTTTGTCATGGCATAAGGCATAGAGGGGTGTCAACACACAAAGTGATACACGCAGTTACAAATCGCAGCTGTGGAAAGACATGATCACCAATCCAGTCGGCAAGGCACTTAATGATGCCAATTAGTCAAATGGTACAATGTTTTCAAAAATACTGTTTTACCAGTAGGTTATAGTCTCCAGTTATTTCTACATTTTCATGGAAAGTTTGCCCCTCAAAAACTTGCTCTTTTTGTGTGTGTGACTATTGTCATACTCTTTCTGATTTCTAAATAAAAGTGATGGTCTTTGAGAATAAAAAACAACCATTTGTTCATTGTTCAGTACACAGGTTTGAATCCTCGGTGAAGCTGGGAATTTTTTCTGTTAGGGGCAAAATAAAATCCTCACCTGCACGGTCATGGCAACAACACTAGCCATGCGGCCGTAAATCCTCAGGCTTAAAGATCCTCCCGCCTACACCGCAAAAGTGGTATAACAAAGGCAGTAAATGGCAGTTCATTGTTCAGTCAAGACTTTTAAAAAATCTCATGAAAAAGCAAACTTGTTTCACTTTAGTTTTGAGGGTAAATGAGGTATCATCAGCTAGAAAAGTTGGAGGGGAGGAAAAGCATAGGGATGATAAGTAATAGTTCTGTAGTACATTGACTGTAGTCTGCATCTGAGGAGATACAGCAAAATAAGCTAGGCAATAAATTGTGCACTCTGTTGGTGTCTTCTTTGTCAAAGATTTATTAATCAGGCAAACACATATCTATCTATTGGAAGGATAACATCAGAGAAACTCTACAACAGCACGATGTGCCTATGGTCGAGGCAGCCAGAAGAGCTAGAAACAGAACCTTATATCTCCCTCGACACCCACAGCGGTAAAAGAGGAAGTGAAGAAGAAGAAGAAGAAGAAGAAGAAACACATATCTATCAGATATATGGAAATAATGGAAGCAGCACCTGACATTACAGCTTTGGAGTGGAATGTTCAGGAAGCTTTTAAACGAGCCCTAAGCTGAAATAATTGAGGATGATAATAATAACACTTTCACTGAAGTCAGACCTTGAGTTCTGAGATTACACATTATGCCGATATTTCCTATGCCTGGGTATCATGGGCTCCATTCTAAGATTGGACAAAAATATGTTAAATTTAGAGGCAATTTGCCAAGTCAACTGAGAACCAACCCACCGATCCACACAGCACTTCCTTTTGGGACTACTCAGTGCTCACGTAGCACCTGCAAGACATGTCCTTTCGTTGTCCAGACTTCTTCGGTCAGTTTCCCTAATGGTTCTTTTCAAATTAGGGAACCTTTTACTTGCGAATCCCGCAACGTAATTTATGCAATTATCTGCAAACGATGCAGCAAGGCATACATTGGAGAGACTGGCAGGAAGCTAGCTGATCGTTTCCGGGAACACCTCTCCGATATCGACAAGAAGACACTCAAACCAATCCCTCTTCATTTTAATAGCCCTGACCACAGCGGTAAAGATGACATATCTGTCACAGCATTAAAATCTTGCTCTGGCGATCATACTACCCGCCTCGCTTTGGAAAATCGCCTTATCCACAGCCTTGGCGTTCTTAGTCCAAGAGGTATCAATATCCAACATACCTTCATCTAAATAGTTCTAATCTTATCACATTTTAAATGTTAATTTTTTTATTTTATTTCATATTATTACCTTATTCTATTTCTTATCAGTATCATTTATGTATCATTACCACTTGCATTTCTTTTATTCCCAGTATTGTGACTATATTTTTTAGCCATCGTTTATTTTATTTTATTTCATTTTTTCCGCATCACATTTTTTAAAGCGCTCACGTCACCCCTTAGAGATCTACATACTCTCCATTCCTCGTTTGTGTCTTTCACTTGTGTTTGAAAAAGGCTGCCCAGCCGAAACGTTACGTTTTGTTGTTTTGTGCACGTTTTCCTCTTTCCCATTTTGTTGAGCTTTTTAGTCAAATTTCTCTGGAATTCATAGGAAACGAAAGTAAAAGGAATATTAATTTATATCACGTACCATGCTGAACAGTGAGGGTGAACATGTTTCTCACCAAAAACAATGTCTTTTATATCCATGTCACATTTTCGGTGAAAGTTTTTACCAGTGATCTTCTGATAAATTTACTGTATTTCATATTGTCCTTTTAAGTGTAATCAAAGATTTTTGAGAGAGTAAAAATCAACATGCTACCATAAAATTCAGTAAGGAAGTAGATCAATACCAGATACAGTACACACTGGGCCTAGAAAGTTCAACAGAGGAAATAGAAAAGATACAAACAAATACAACTAAATGATTAGATTAGTCTTATCAGTGGAACTTATAAATGGTGAAAGGTAACATGAAACCATTAATAGAAGGAAAGAAAACATTACAAATACAAACCTGATCCATGATAAGTAAAGTAAAAAAGGTAAAAGACCCTTTTCCATTTTAGGCATATAGGACTAGACCTATATTTTATAGACCAATCGGCACTTGATGTGTGAATGGGTCAGCATCACACCTGCCGCCCTTACTTCCCAGGACTGCACCTGGTACCCACTGAAGGCTGGTCCACCTGGGAGCTAAAGTCAGTTTTGAAAAAAATAAGTCTAGCTTCGTGGGGACCCAAACCCACGACCTTCTGATCCGCAGGTGATCTATCCCTACGGGACTTAGAATGCCAGAACTATGAATGAAGTAGTTTTCTATGGAGAGGTGGCTGGTATTACCGCTATAGCAAGATTTTATGGCAGTAACTGAGTTTTTGATATTACCTTGGTGATCAGAACTATTAAGTGGAAGCAATTGGGTTTATGAGCTGTGAATATTCATGAGATGTTCACATAAAAGATCAGCTAACTGCTTAGTTTTTCCAGTATATGCTTTTTATAATACCAGTCAGCCAGAGAGATATTCAACATGGGTGTCTAATATCTCTAGAATATGTAGATATTTAAAAGCCATTGAGGAAGGATATAACATAAAGAGTCTGAGATGTGGATGGAAAGTATTGATTTCAGGCAGTCAACAGGATCTGCAATCTTTGGTGAATTCAGTAACAGTATATGGTGTGCAACAGTATACGGTGTGCAACAGTATACAGTGTGCAACAGTATACGGTGTGCAACTAGATTTAAAGTTAAATTGTAATAAAACAGATATATTTTTGCAGAACATTCTCATTAATTAAATGATGTTAGTTACCATAAGAAAAAAGTGCCACAGAACTGATATGGAAAGCAGGAGAAAATTTATAATAGCTGCAAAAATGTGGTTTCTGAGATAAATACAAAGAATATCATGGGCTGACCTGAAAACAAAAGGCAGTTCCCCAGGTGGATTCCGGGGCCCCATTGTGAGAAAAACAAGAATATAGCCACTGCCTCCCCAACAAGCATGTTGTAAGAGTGGACTAATTGAGGCTTCCTTCGGAGTGCATCTGCCTAAGAGGCAAGGAACTAACAGTCTGCACACAAAGAAGTCAGAAATGTAAAACAATAGTGCATGCAACACTCAGGTTCTGGAACAAAAATAAAATTCAGGGGTGGACGGACAATCAGAACTTTCCACCGGAGTTTACAGTCAGTGAACACGAAGAAGAAGAAGGCAGTTTTCCAAGAAACAAGGACTGCACCTGGTACCCACTGAAGGCTGGGTCGACCTGGGAGCTAAAGTCAGTTTTGAAAAAAAAAAAGTCTAGCTTCGTGGGGACCCAAACCCAGGACCTTCTGATCCGCAGGCGATCGTCTGATACTTCAGCTGAAATTATAAATATTTTATTATTTTTATTAATACTGTTTTAAATTGTGTGGTCACAACTGCTTTTGCTAAAAGTCTCCCTGTGTCTATTAGATGGATTCTTCTAGAAAAAATTAATTTAAACGCATGTAGACATTTATGCATAACCTGCTGCATTGTTTCAGCACATCTCAAAGTCTTTCTTTCATCCCCACACCACTTTGAATAGAGCTAGGTTTGTTGAGAACAGAGGATATGAAAGGCACTTGAGGCGTAGGTTGTTGATACTACAACTAGACACTTGCATTCGCAAGTTATAGTTGTTCAAATTTTATTGTGCCTGACATGATTTGTGGGAAGGTCTGGATAAGAGTATGTGGCACTGGTTACAGCATTCCTGCTAGGCATATGGTGATCTGAAATAATGTCTGCATTCCAAAGAGATTATAGCTCCTGTAGATGGCTTTGTGTGGAAATCCTTTAGTCCATGTGAAAAGGCATGAAAGTATCCCTTGCTTACTTTATTAGCTTCTGACTGGTAGTTATAATAAACTCAGGTATTATAAACAGGAATAATTAATGCTAGAAATCATTTCCACTTCAAAACCCTGCAAAGTTTTTGTCAAGCACCAGCCGGTGGTCATTTAATTCTGGAGTATGCTGCCATGTACGCACGAACTGGAACACATAATAAATGACAATGTGTGTTGAAGCTTGAACGGTGTCCATAAATGCTACTATTTCATTTACAGTTACTCAGTGCATTTCCTTCGTTGTGTATTTAACTGTTGCCATCAACTCTCAGGTCACCAGTCAGTTATGCTGACTCAGTCAAACAGCATAATTCATTGTCATCTCAGAATTTTCTGTCCCCATTTTGCATTTGCCAAAGTGACATCCTTATTTTTGCTTAATTGCTACATAATTTTTACATTTATTGTCTCTATGATATTAATCCTTAGCAACAGTATTATTACAATGAGGTGAATATGAGTATGAATATTGTTTTTAAATATAAGGTTTTCATTCAACACATCATGCATAGATTTACAAAATAAATATTTATAGTTTCAGCTGAAACGTCCTATCATATTTGTTTTTTAATGCTGGAACTTTCATGTTTTATGTTAATTTATTTGAGTTTATATAAATGTATTCAATGTAAAACATGTCCTTCTTTTTCAGAATATTCGGTTGGTGAATGAAAATAGTAAGTACATATTTGCTAAATATATGGGCTAGGGATGGGATCAGTGATAATTTATAATACATAAATATGCTACTATATGCCTGCCTGATTGCAGCATATTATATCTTAGCCTTGCTCTTTCAGTGTTAGGGTGCTCTGTTCATGTTGGCGCTTTTCTGTCTTTCCAGACGATAGTGGTATATTATGCTTAGTTAGTTAGTTAGTTAGTTGGGTTCTCCTCATTGCACTCCGGACATGTCCATAGGTGCTCAGATCCTCCCCTCAGTATGACCCCTAACGTCCGATGGCTAATAGTACCAGTTCTATGTTGATTAACAAGTCTTCTGGTGTGCGTCTCGTTTTTTGCTGTGCCGATCTTAATTCCCAAGTCTGCCATTCTGGCGAGTGATGTGGATTCACTGCCACCAAAGTCCTCTATCCTTCCCATTTCTCTGAGGGCATTGATAATATCAGCATGATCCATAGGCTGACCGTCAGTAGTGATAGCGGATCCAGCCAACCTGTCAGCTCTTTCATTTCCATCGACGCCTGCGTGTCCCGGAACAAAAATAAAGGTGACTCCACGAACAGTGGACTTCTGTAATGATTCAAGCCATTGTCTTCGCACTGAACCTGCCTGAACCCTCCGGATCATACTCATTGAATCACTGAGTATACACACGCGGGTGTATTTTTGTATATTATGCTGTGGGGAGGCATGGGAATCACAGCCCAAGGTGATGAAAGTGTGACTAGCAGGACCCATCCACATTAAGAAATGTCTTCCACTCTGAGCATAGGATTTCAGGACCGTTATTGCCATTGTATGTATTTAGTGTGTGTCTTCTCAGATGCACAGCTCTCATCAATCATTTCTTCATTCATTGTCATTCCCTTCCTGGTTTACACCCTCCATGCAACATGGTCTTTAGTATTTTGTTCCCCCGAATCTACCTCAGTACCTGTATCATTCATGTCTTGATCACACACATCTTGTATTGTAGCAGAGGCCAATCTGGAAATCGTTTACCCATCTGTCTTTCACCATGGAGCAAGCATATTAAACTGAGGGCGATGTTGGTCAAATTTTGAAGTCATGAAGGCCTGACAACTAATTGGAGTCATTTAATAAAAGTTATTGCAAAATATTTCCTTTTTGTGGGCTGCAGGTGTGCTCGCTAAAGGCCACATGCGACCTGACAGTTTGACTTGCCTGTCATAGAGAATGTCCTTAGGGACTCTACCATCCTCCATTCTCCCCAGCACCTGAGCCTTTGAAGACTGAACAATGAGAATACTGTCTTAATACTGCTCCTTCCAGTAACTTGTGATCTTATATTGCCTCTTTGTGCCAGGTATTCTTTTTAGGCTTCGCATGTGAAGGTTATTTAGCTGTTTTTCCTGATATGAATAAGTTGACAAAGTTTCACTGCTATAAACTTCTCCTGCTCTTCGCCATAAATATAGACTTCAGGTCCATCATTAACTCATTAACACCTTTCATCAAAATATTTGTATTATTTTTGCTGATTGTTAGTCCAAAATCACAGCAAATGCATATAGTAAATATTGGTTAGAGGGTGTCAGTGGTTCAAAAATTCATCATAGATTGTTATCGCAGTTTTATGGAAGTGTACTGTTATATAAAACTATGGTTTTATGCATCAAGAAATTTAAAAGTGGTCAAACACATTGAGAGGGAGCAGGACAGCCATCAACCTCAACAACAGATGTCAACATTCAGCAAGTTAGAGAGATGGTTTTGGCAAATAAGTGTATTACCATTAATGAGGGAGCATCTGTGCTAAACGTTAGTTACAGTTCTGTCCATCTAATCATCCACTATGAGTTGGTTATCATAAAGTCTGCACGATGGGTACCAAGAAAGCTTACTGCAGAACACAAGCTCACTCGTGCAAAATGCGGTGCAAAAGAAGCTTCTTGACCAACTGAAAATTTTTATTTGGAAGGAATACATAAGCTAGTTGACCATTGTGCAAAGTGTGTTGATAAGGAGGGAGATTACCTAGCAAAATGATGCACATAGTGAAACCCTAGCTTCTTATAAATAAATTGTCGAAGCAAGAGTGTAGATAATTTTTGACTCTCCCTCAAATGTCAGGTTTATTGAGGTCGGCATCAATGATTTCCACTTTCCTCACAACATTAATGTTTTCCAGGTCAGTGAAAAACCCAGGCAGTACACATGGTCCTGAAATTCCATGTTGCAAGCCTAAGCTTGAAGATATGTTTTTTTTTTATTGCCTAATGCATTGATTTGTATAGCCTGCGATTCAGATTTTTTCCTAGCTGCAAGCGCCTGTTGAAGTACACAGGCTGTGGCAGATCAACATCTTATTGGGCGACCCAGCTTGAAGTAGGCGGTAGTTGATATTTGACATTAAAAATGCCTCCCACTATCAGAGGCAACCCATGGTGCCCTCCTCTACGCCAGTTGACAAGGACTCATAACCCTTAAATGCTGCCTCTAAATTTGTTTCTGAGACCAATTAAGGCCGGGGAGGAAGTTCCTCCTCACCATTGCACAAAGCCTGGGCAGTATTGCAGAGACCATTTGTTGCTCATAGATCATGATCCCTTGTTTGGCTGCCTTGTGTACTCTAAAGGAAAGGTAACATCAGTACGTTTGGAACAAAGCATGCTGCGGAAGCTGCTGGATCTGAAGAGCAGTGCTCTATCCGCTTATCATAGCTTCTCTCCTAGACCAGCTACCAGCCAAGTCTAAAGGCCTGGTCTGCCCTGCCTTAACATACAATTTTCAGGTAGCATTTCCTCTTCCTAGGGTAAGGCTAGTATCTCTCCCCCCCCCCCCCATGTGCTCCTCCACCTGAAGCCATTGGCGCAATGTGGAATGTCAGGTTTAGTATATCGCCCAACATTCGACTTAACAGATGGACAGGTAGTACTGGCTACTGTCATGTGATAGCTCAGTCATATCTGACCAAGACCAAACTTAATAGGGCCCTCTGTGTCCCATCTACAAGGAGTTAAAGAACATAATTTCTTCCATTTTATTAAAATACAAATTGACAGACACAGAAATACTGCTGCTGAAAGGTTGACCATTAACTACTAAAGCCCACCAGGCTATTTGATATTATAAAGTAATGAAGACAGACTTCGTAAGCAGAAAGTATAACATGAAAAAACCACCACCAGTGTATCTTCACGTGGAAGATTGTCCCTGCTGACATTAGATTCTCTTTTATTTGTGCCTCTGGAGCTCGAAAATAAATGTAAAAAGTATTGTAATTGAAACTATGGTAATGCACTGAGTATGATTGTGTGGTTGCAACTTGTCTCATGTGACACTTATAATTCATGCTCTGTCTGTGGGAAACATTGTATCAGTCTGCATTTTTACACTCTGACTTGTTCTAGGAGAGACAGAGCAAACATGAATGTCCACTGAGTGCTGTAACACCAGTTCTGATTGATCAGTCACCATGTGAAAATGATGTTTTTTAAGCCTGAATTATTTTGACATTTGAAATTATTTAAAATTTTTTATTAAAATGAATAAAAATGTAAATGTTACTCTGTTAGTGGTAGCTAATCTCCTAAAGTTCTTCACTGATTGCTTTCAAATTTTGACACATCGTTGCATTCGAATACGCTTGTGTTTTTATATAGGAGTATTGCACAAAGCATGAACTACATAGTTCCAGCAACAATCACATTGGTTTTTGTTTTGTTGCCGCGGTTCCGGCATGGGTTTTTCTTTCCGCTGGGAGGGGAACTTTGACTGTTGACCTCAGAAATCTGCATGAAGCTGTATGCTGACAGTTCTTAACTGAATACTTTCAAATTTCAGCACAACGTTGCATTCCAATACGTGAGTGTTTGTATGTAAGAATGTCGCTCAAAGCACGAACTTCATAACTCCGGCGACGATCACATCAACATCTTGGTTTTGCTTTTTGATGATCCAATTTCTTTCGTTGCCGCGTTGCCGGTGCGGGTTGTAGGCGAACTTTGACTGCTGACCTCAGAAATCTGCATCAAGGCTGTATTATAAAGGATGTGGTAAATATTACACTGGCCGCATTCACTTCTCATTACAATTCATGCTACCCGTTCTAGTCTGGGTGGACATGAATACTAATGCCATCATCCAAGCTATTCTCATTTTTGTGTGTGGCGAATTTGTTGGTTTTTTTTTTTAGATGCACAATAGTAAAATTTATTTGAGCTCTTTAAAAATTACAAAAAAGCTTTTGCATGTGATAAACAAATAACAATTTTTTTTTAAAAATAATATACTTTACACGACCACTAATATAAGGACACAGTTATATGTTGCGTGTTCTAGAGTCGGCAAACCAGACTATCTCTATATCTGCGCAGACAATGATTGTGAAATTAACCATATTAGTGCGCTTTCTATTTTCTTTCTTTTCCATTTAGCCAGACTGGGCCACAGCAATGAATGGCCAGGTACAACTAGTATTTAATAATAAATAGAGGCAAATTATCTGCAGTTTCTCAATACTAAATTATATAATCACATTTTTGTAGACTTCTTGTCCTGGTGCCGCAATACCTACTTATCCTCTGTTGTTGGTGTGGCTATGATCACAGAAGGAACAACAGTATTAGCTCAGAGTGCAGGAGTAGGTAAGTCTGAATCTGTATTCAGTCAGTGTGACATTTGAGAGAAATCATGAATGAAATAATACAATCTGTACATCATTGCACATCATAAAAAAAAGATGCATGCTTAAAGACTTCAGTAGTTAAGAGATAAACTGGAAAATGTTACATACTGTATAGATTTGATCCAAGCTCAGTCACTGCTGTGACAAAATAAATATGGCTACTTGTTTTGCATAACAGGGTAGCCCTGTGCAATCACAGCCCAGGCGTCTTTTATGGCAGTCAGAAAATACTGTGGGAACCTATTCTCTTTTTCCTTGATTGGTTTTACCTCCTGCTATTGTATATCTGCCTTGGAATGACTTTTCTGGTTAAAATAACATGTTACATAGACATGAATGAACTATTGTTATGTATCATATTATATTTTATGATTATAAGCAACTGGCAAAGATGTATTTTTGATGTGTCATAGAACATTCACTTGATGTGACATAGAATATTTATATTTCTCCTAAAATAAGAATTGCATAAAATATTGTATTTGATTTTTGTAAAAAAGAAGCAGTTTTCAACACTTCTAAAAAGCGGTATCAATAGGGGTGACTGCAGTCAAGCTCATATCCAGAAATAATTCTAGTGAACTGTGACCTAAATGTTTAACAAAATGGGAAAGCAGAAACAAAAAAACAAAAAACAAATAAAAAATGTACGTTTCGGCTGGGGCCTTTCTCGACAAGAACTGAACACCACAACAGTAACAAAGGGAAAATTACTCCAACCACCAATGGGTCACATGAGAAACTATTTAAAAAAAAGGTGATGTGGAGTGAATAAAATAAAATACAGGAAGGCTCGAAAAATAGTCATAAAAGGAATAGTGAAAATATATAATAATAGTAGGAATGAAAGAGTAGTAGAAATACAATGATCCGTAAATGGTACTGATAAGAGTAAGAATATAGTAATAATATGAAATAAAATAAAAAAGCATAAAATTAATATAATTAAAATTAAATTGAAATAAAATGACAATAATAAAACTTTAGACGAAAGTATGCTGGAAAAAAATAATATGAAAATTATAAAACTGTTTAGATGAAAGTATGCTAGACATTGATGCCTCCTGGACTAAGAACACCTAGACTGTGAATGAGCTGATTTCCAATGCAAGGCGCATGACATGATCACCAGAGCAAGATTTTATCACTGTGACAAATACATCATCGTTGCCTCTGTGGTCAGAGCTGTTAAAATGGAGAGGAGTTGGTTTAAGTGTCTTCTTTTCAGAATTGGAAAGATGTTCCCGGAACCGATAAGCTTACTTCCTGCCAGTTTCCCCAGTGTATGCCTTGTTGCCACTTTTGCAGATTATAGCATTATTTACCTTTTGGGATTCCCTAATTCAGAAAGAACCATTGGGAAAACCGACAGAGAAGGTCTGGACAATGAAAGGACATGTCTTGCACATGGTGCGGGAGCATTTCATAGTCCAAAAAGGAAGTGCTGTGTGGATCTGTGGGAGTTGCCTTCTGATGAGGTTTCTTTAAAGGGTTGCTCTAAAATTAATCTCGGCTTCTCACTGGAGATCACCTTGGTGTCTGGATTAAAGCGAAGGATGTCCAGACGGAAAAATACTTTAGAAGCAACTACATTATTAGGATGAAAAGTTGAAATCAGTTTGGGTCCATCAGTGGAAGAATTACATTGGTGGTAAAAGCATCTCTCCTGATGATGGTTAACATTCAGAGCCTCTTGTAAGATGTGTTGCAGATAGAAATGGGCATGGAAGAAGTCAAGAAGTTCAACTGATTTATTAAAGAGGTCAGAATTATCAGTGCATATCCTGTGCAGTTGGAGTAGCTGTGAGTACGTGATATACATTTTCACAAGGCAGCGAGTGAGACGGCGTATAGAGGAGATAACTGAGAATACATAGATTTGAAATAGACTGTAGTTTTTCAACACGGAAAAGCGATGCTGAGCATGATATCAAGACAGTTTACTGATATGGTGAAGATCAATGGTGTGAATTTAATAGCCGGATTAAAATTGTTTATGAAATGGATGAATTAGTGGAGCTCACCCATGGACTTTTCAGTAATACCAATGCCATCATCTATTATCTCCTGTACACCTCTGGAAACTTGCCTGAGTATGCTAAACCAACTTCGTATTCAAGGTGGCCCAAAAAGAGGCATGCATAACGGACTCATCTTGGTGCCCATTACGACCACACTGATATGGTCAAAATACTCACCATTGAACTCTAAAGGAGTCAAGGGTCAGTACCAGTTTGGCAAGGCATACAAGAACTGCAGTGGGGATGATGGGGTTGGATCTTCTGTCCAAAAAGAACTGGAGTGCCTTCAGACCATCAGACCATGAGGGATAGACGTATAAAGGAAGCATATGTCTGTCAGGAAAGGATGATAGGTTTTATCTGGGATTAACCTGATGGATCCAAAAATGTTGAGGGCATGGTTGGTGTCTTTTACAGATGAAGGGAGGCTAGTGATATTGGGTTGGAAAATCTATCTACAAATTCAGAAAGATACACTGTGGGACAGGAGCATGCAGATACAATGGGGCGTCTAGGTTGTTAGGCTTATGGATCTTAGGCAACAGGTTGGCCTGCTTTGGAAGAGTACCTCGTGAAATAAATGACTGTAACGTGTCCTTGACTATCTTATTGTTGGAGACTGGGGTCAGTCACTTCTGGCTGAAAAAAAACATGATTACCGAGTTGGGTGCTGCCTTCCTCAATATAAAGACCCTTCCTCAAAACCACACCCTTTGTCAGCTGATTTTTTTAACAATATCATCCCCCTTTCTAAGGGAGGAGAGTGCCCTCCACTCCCCTTTAGTGAGGTTGGATTTTGGTAAAGGCTTCTGTTGCAACTGTTAGATAACGTGGAGTGTGTGGCTGATGTAAAGGTTAAGAGCCTTAGATTTTCCAACAGGAGGAGTTCATTGTAATCAGGGTTTGTTGGCCGTGAAAAAGAATGGGGAGAGCTGCATGCAATAGCAAAGGATAGAACGACTTGGTGTGAGTTGGTTGAAGGTCTATGCTCCATTGGGGATTAGAAAAGCAGAAGAAATGGTCAGATGTGTGTGCCTGACTGAATTCCACACAAATATAAAAATAATTATGCACAGGATAGACTGGAATGGATGAATCAGCTGTGAGCCTTATATGACGTATGAATTGAAGAACATGATAATGTCTGTGATGATATGGGAAGAAAAAGTAGAAATAATTTTGTGTCAATGATGATCACTTCAGTATGTTTCATGATGTTTGAAAAATATGAATAGTATTCCTGTCAATAAAATCATACACTGTTCCATATCTGTTTTACAATCTAAAAAATGAGTATATAACACACCTACAGTTGTTTAATGACATAATTGCTTCTGTTCAAGATTGCTCTTTGTCAGCACAGTATTTCCAAATCTTTGCAGAAAAACCATTGGGAAGTAAATTATATTGTGATGATTTGTCTGTTTTGTCCATTTCCTAGTATGTGATGACTTTTTAGTACTGTACAGCAGCTCTGTTATATATTGCCTTTACAGGCAGTGGAAAAAAAACAACACTCATACAGTTTTAGATATTTGTTTTTTTATGTCAGCAGATCTAATCTGCAATGCAAACATGTTGATAAGCAGATATATTTCTTGCTGCATTGTTTGGATGCATTAGATTTGACAATCTTTTTCTTCTTCAGCATTCCGAGCTTTGAGATTCACTGCTGCAGATATCACCCGCCTCCATTCGTCTCTCTGGTTAGACTTTTCTTTCCAGTTTGTGACACCGAGTGTTTGCAGGTCTGTCTGGACATTATCTCTCCATCGTCTTCTTGGTCGGCCTCATGGTCTACGATCATTCATCTCCCTTATGTATACAGTTTTCAGTTCTCTGTCACCTGACATTCTCTCAATATGCCCCAGCCATTTCAGTCTATTAGCTCTCATGATGCCAGTGATCAATGGGATATAAACGGATTATGAATTTCGTTGTTGCTTTTAACTCTCCATTCCCCGCTGTTTGCATCTTTGATGAGTCCAAAGATTCGTCCTAAGACCAAAACCTGTAATAAGGCTTTATCTCTTTTAGTTGTCTCCAAGTTTCAAAGCCATATAAAATGACTGGTCTTATCAACGTTTTATATATTTTGATGTCTTTGTTGCGAGACAATTTGACTTTAGCAGTTATTTAAGGGCATAGTTAACTTGATTTCCAGATTGTATTCTAGATTGTATTTCTTCTCTCAGCATGTTGGAGCAGTTGAAGTTTGCACCCAAGTACTTATATGTTTCCGTTCGTCTGATTTTCATGTTATCGATTTGTATGTGGCCGGAGTTTATATCCTTTCCCTGTCTAGTTATTATCTTGTATTCTGTCTTATCTTGATTGATAACCTTCGTAAAACATTATCTCGTCAAGAAACAGATATCTAAGCCTCGATTTCTGATAGATTTAAACGGATAATGATCTGGAACATTATTGGACTTTTGAGATTTGCAACATGTAATGTATGAACCCTTTTTAGAGCTGGAGCAGCTGAAGAACTGACCCGTTAGTTATCAAAATACAGAATGTATATAACAGCTATTCAAGAAATAATATGGCCAGGACAGGGTACCATAGAGGAAAATGGAATGATCATAGTGTATGGAGGAAACACTGAGATTTGACAATTATTTTACCAAGTGATTAATTGATTCGATGGGTGCAGTATTTTATTTTAATAATAGCTTTTTATTGTTATGTTTATCATTAATTTTATTTAGGGGGACTGCGTGGTCTCGAGTGCTAGAGGTCCCGGTTTCAAGCCCCGGTGAAGGCTAGGGTTTTTTCTTGTGGACTTCTAGTAATTTCCCCCTGGTCTCTGGGTAGTAAGATCAGATGGCAGTTGGAAATTGAAAAAATAGTAGCCTAACAGCGCTGCCTGGGCAAATCCTGGAGTTAAAAATCTACCCAAAGTATTTCAGGATCCTCACTGGTGCTACGGAAT